GCGAGAAAGAAAGAGAGAGGGGGAGGGAGGGAGGGAAGAAGAGAGACACACACGCCGCCGAGAAGCGGATGAATAAATCTAATTAGTGGCCTGAGGCGACAGCCAAGAGAATGCACGTGTCGTGGCTCGAACTTTGTACTTGTTCGGAGAAGAGAGTGCCCTCGGCGTCATCATGTTTTCTCCTCCTTGTGTAGTACCTGAGCGAAACATACAACGTGCCCGCGCAATTCAGAGTGATCGCACCCACCCCGAAAGAAAGAGAAGTCGCAGACGCTTGATCCGCGGTTCTTTCCGAGGATGAATTTTTCTTAGAAGGCCGTGAAAGAATCGTGGAAAAGAGAATCTTGGGGACAAATATATTCAGGACAGACCTGGAAACGTCCGGTAGGTTGATTCTGCAACTTTTAACGACGTTGTGTCGTTATCGTTATATGTCGGTGTCTTCCCGCCATACGTTGCGCAACGACGACGTATACGATGACGACGCTGTCATTAACAGTGACAGAACAGGCCTACAGGGATTAGCGGGCGTTAAATGAGCGTCTGTCATTCTCAAACCGAACGAAACGGACCCAGACAGCATAAATATCTAAAAGACGGTTTTTTTTTTTTTTTAGAAATATCCGAAGGTTTCTCTCGACCGAGGAGCCGCGGAATTCGTTTCTCGTCGCATAACATTAATACTCGGAACCGGATGTCGTATCGGCATCATCTCTCAGGATGACTTAACTCGCGCGCGACCGACGCGTACTCGCACGCGATTCTTGTTCTTAGAAACTTCGAACACACACACACATATACAAACGTACATACACGCACACGTGAAAAAGCAAATACGTGAAAAAAAAACAGATGGATCCTGCGTGTACATAGAGAGCGTGAGAAGCAGAGAGAGAGAGAGAGAGAGTGACGGAATCGAAGCGCCCCCCTGCCTCCCATCCTGTCGGAGAGAATCGACGTGTATGTATAAAAAAGAAAAATGACGCGCGACATATACATGTAACGATACGTACGATATACGCGAACGTGAAGAGAAAAGAAACAACTTTTCTTTCTGTTTTCTTTTTTTTTCTCTCTCGTCGGCACACACGCACGCAGAGAGACGTCCCGACGAATCCTTCGTAAAATCGAGTATGCGCGTGGGCGATTTCCGCGCGCCGATTCAACGACGAATATCGCCCTCCTGAACGGAAACGGGGCAGACACGGAGGAGGAAAGAAAGAATCGGCGATCGCGCGTCGGGGTTTCCCCGCGTCACCCCCGCGAATATCCGGGAGGAAATCGATCCGTGTTCGTACAAGCGAGAGTACGTTTCTGACGCGTCTAACTACTACTCGCAATCCGATGTGATTCCGTCGCGCGGATTTTACACATCGCGATCGATCGAGGATGAATCGATTTGTTCGCCCGCGGGAATAATTTGCGGTAGCGCGCACGCGCTAACGCTTACACGTGGTATTAAAAATCGCCCGAGAATAGGTCGAGGAGGTCGTTCGCATTGCTGTCGCGACCGTTGCGATAAGAATCGATCGAAGAAACAATAATCTCGATCGATTTTCGTCGTCGACGGCGACGACGAGCGAGAACATTATTCGAAACCACCAATTCTCCGCCTCTTCGAGCTCCTCGTTCCGCTCCCGTTTCTTCATTCTCGAGGTAATCGCCCGCGGGTGAACTGTCTTGTTTAGGGATAGGATGGAGGAGTACAATAGAGAGTGGAGAAGTTCAAGATAGCGAGAGGGAAAGAGAGAATACGACGTGAGAGAGAAACGAAGACATCCCTTTCCTCGAAGGAAGTTTTTTAACGGGCGGCGACGAAGCGAAACGTTGATTATCGGCCTCCTCTCCCTGCCGCGCAGTATCATCTAGACTATAAATTCAGGCATCGTCGAAAGAGAGAGAAAGAAAGAGAGAGAGAGAGAGAGAAAGAAAGCGAGGGAGCGAGAAAGAGTTCGTGAGCGAGAAGGCGAGATAGAGCGAAAAAGAGCGCGAGAGCGCCCGTCGCATGTACATGTACCTACTTATTTGTTTGTAACTCGTTAAAGATCAAGACTTAGTTTGATCGGTGTGTATGTGTGTGTGTGTGTGTGTGTGTCGTTCGATCCATAGTGAAAGATAAGTCTGTACATAATAATGATATAAGCGCCGAGGTACACACACAGCTCCCTCCCCCCCCCCTTCCCCCGCGATTGTTGTAACATAAATGATAATATACAGCGCGCGCGATTGCAGAAACGTCGAGTTAACATAAAAGTATTATGAGACGATAAGAAAAGGAAAAAAAAAGGAAGCGTGGAAGAAAAGGAAGAAAGATGCGAAGAGACTCGAAATTGAGAACGAAGAAAATAATGAGGGAAATGAAAGAAAGAAAGAAAGAAGAGAAGGAAAATGAAGAAGATGGTAGAAGAGAACGCGAGAAAAGAATACTATGTAACGAAACGATTATTATCCACGAACACACACGCTCTGTTAATTGCGACTAATTAAAATGAAGTAAACTGAAAATTAAATATAGCGAGCGAGAGCATTACCACGCCTACAGTAAATTACAGATGTAGCATACACGATAATATTATTATCAAAACAGTTCAATGTAAATTGTTATTTTTGTTGAAATAAAAATCACCTCCGTTATAAAATCAAGTGCACATCCTTGTTCGGCTACTCTCAATCGGCTACTCTCACTCTTTTTTAAGAAGAGGAGAATATTGTAATTATAAAACGAAAATTACAATGGAACTTACTTCTCAAACAATACACTATAAAAAAAGATCCGACGAAGCAATTCGAATCGGATTAAACGAACTCGATTTTAAGTTTGCATATAACGGACTAATTGCTCTTTTTTTTCTCTACTTCGTTCGGCACCATTTTCTTGTTTTTTTTTTGGTTTTTCATGTGTACAAAGCAAGCTAAAAAATGAGTTCAATAAATTTCGATTATATAAAGCTGACTCCCAACAAATTTCTCATCATATTTATCATATAATTTGTTTAATCTTCAACCAAGGTAGAATTAGTCATATTACGTAGATGGTTCAACTTTTAGTCGATGAAAGGACATTTTAATTTCTACGTACAATTACGTTTCATGCTCATTACCCTTACAGAAATTTATTACCTCTAAGCCAGTGATTAATTATTTATTTCGAGTATTTAAAACATTGTTGTTAATAATTCGTAATGATTAACTTATAGAGCTCGCACTGATCCCAAATATTTCAACGCTTAGGGCTGCAGTAGTTAAATACTACCTTATCATTAATATGAATACTTAAATACTAATGCTTAATAGCGCAGTAATGATGAATTATATTCTTACAGAAATTTATTACTGAGAATTACTGAATTTGTAATGATTGAAGATAATTGAACTTTTGGCCATATTGCCCGTGTACAATTAATGACTCAACCTTACTCCGCCTTTCAGTCCTGATTTAGCACCTTGTGATTTCTTCTTACTTTCCTATATTTACAAGTTAGAAATGTTGAGAACTGTTGTATAAAACTGCATGTCGGAAAGCTCTTGCACACAAATTTAATCTTATATTTTCTACACAAAAATAATATTTACGAAGTTTACATGATAAATTAACAACTTTTTAGTATATTTCCTGCTTTAGTGGTTTTATACTTTTCTCAATTTAATGTTTCGTTATTTGTTTTTGTGTATATTACATGGATCATTAATATAACATATTTTGATATTTCATAATGTATGAAAAATAAAAATTGTTACATACATTAACATAACATTAGAAAAAAAAATATATGTATATATTAAAAATTATAATAATTAGTAATAGAATAATTTTGAAAAAAAGTCATTATAAACACAAAAAACATTTTCTTTATTTCTTAATTATTCAAATATTATTCCTGTTTTAAGGACACATAATATATATATATGTGCGCAACGCCAGGCTCGTAACGCGAGCACTCGTTCCACTAACGTGGGTGTTACAGCTAGTGGAATTTGGATTTCTGAGCGCAGGATTCCGTTAGCGCACGATGCAATTGCATATATTGGTCGCGTTCAGCAGAACGTTTAGTTTGCAACTGTTGGAACTTTCTTATGGTGACATTAGATTGTTTCTGTAGATCTAAAAGAAAAATCCAATCTCAGCTCAGAAAACTTCCAACAGTTGCAAATTAAACGTTCTGCTGAACGTGATCATCCACTCACATCGACCGGTGCCTAGAGTTTTTCTGCTGGAACATCAATTACAAAATTTCATATTAAATTAGTCAATGAACGATATGGGCTGTCGGATCCCGCTGAAAATAGTACGACGAGCAAGTATGATTTCCTCGAGTTAAAATATGGGAAGACGCAAATATAACGGAAGTGTACTAAATCCTCCCACTTGACAACATTGGCTGGAAGGACTGTTTGTGAGCATTGCGAGCGTGTAGTAGAACGCACTTATACGCTACTCTAATTGATTAGGATTTCTGAACACACCCAAGAAGAAGAGAATATATTCGTGGTCAAAACTCACAACAGATAATCCTGATTGTCATTTCGCAAGAAAACATGACGGATAATAAAAGTGACAAGACAAAGGTCGATCTCGGATTACTCGAGGAAGACGATGAATTCGAAGAGTTTCCCGCGGAAGGTACACACGTAATTTTATTGACGACTTTTATCGATGTTTACATGACCTAACCTCGAAATCGCTGATTCATTTACTCAGATTGGACCGCAAAGGACGAAGACAGCGAGGATATCAGTGTTTGGGAGGACAATTGGGATGATGATGACGTTGAAGACGATTTTAACCAACAGTTGAGGTATTATTTTGTCATGAATTTAGTGCAGAAGATCCATATAGAAGCAACAAATTAGCAAAAAACATTCAAACGTATAAAACAGAACTATATTGTTAAACAAATTTAAACGGTAACTTTCACATCAAGTTTATAGTATGCTGTAATTAATTTCAGAGCACAGCTAGACAAACAGAAAACTATAAACGAAGGGTCCAAGGAAAATTAAGTGGTAGATTGTAATTTTTAATTTTATCTTATATAAATAAATATGTAATTCAACATTTAAGCTTATATACACCTATATTTTCGACATACATTATCCCTTACAATCTTTGGAATGTGATAATAAGAACCGCAGTTCGTACATCTTGTATGACATGCACCCTATGTTTCACAGGAACATATATATTTTTTTTCTTTGTACAAAACTTAGTCGTTAAATGCTGTATGTTTAGTAAGTCCAGAAATGCATATAGTGTTTTTTTTTTCCACGAGTGACTCATTTCGGGCTATTCACTTGATAGGAGTCATTAGTCTCTATTGGGAAAAAATACTTGGTGTATCTTATCGTAAATGTATAATCAGGTACACAGTCTTCATTTTTAAAAAGTCTCAGTTTTCAAAATGTAAACACATGTTCTATATATATATGTATATATATATGGCACATCAGTTCCCTTTACATAAGTATCTTAATGACCCCCGCAACGCTATTGAGAGAGAATTAAAACAATGTGCGAGTCTTGCGAATAACTGGATTCTCTGAAGGACCGAATCGAAAAATATAATCAACTAATTTGCGATATTGAGGCTGGTTTTACAGGAGACCAGCAGTTCGGATACCAGTGCGTCTAACATTTGCATGTTCACATCCGTGTTGATCCTTTTGATTTCGTACGTGCTCAATAGATAGTTCATGGCTTTGCGCACCTCGTCCTCACCGAATATCAGTTTAACGTTGTACGAGAGCTTCCTGTTCAGTATGCCCAGCAACTTGTCCCTCGACTGTGCATCGGGTTCATTTTGTGCAACATTGTGCGGAGTGGTGTAAACCAATGAAGAATTGTTCAGGGAGTCGAACAACCACAGAATAGTTTTCTGAAAATATACCCGAGGCTAACAAGCTCAGCGAAACTCAGCTCGGCAAGCGGGGAGACGCGGACCTTTTTGAATTTTCTCCAAACATACCTGCAGAATTGGCTCCGAGATATTACCGATCAGTAACTTGGCCCATCTAACGACCGCTTCTTGTTGCAACGTATTGTTGCTAGCGATCCCCGCGAGAAGCTCACAAATGAGATCTATCGTCGTGCACGTTAGCATTAGATTAGAGTCCAGCTCGTCCACTTCGTCTACGCAGAACGTCTCTTTTCGTTATCACGAAATATATCTTAGCGGATAAGCAGTAGCAATCGATATTATTATCACACTACCGTCGTACGAAGTGTTGACGGTTTCTCGCCATCTGTCCAGTGATTCCGAGTCGCCGCTGGCTTCCATCGAGTCAACCGCCTCGTAGGCGGTATCCACCGTGCAGTATTCCGTCCTTTCTGCGATCAGTTGCTGGAGTTCGTACGCCAAACTTTTCTACGATTAACAGATACTTCGAGGTCATATATTGACACATCAGTTTTGTTACATTACGCGCGTCTCGCGTATTATTCCGTTTTTCATACACGTATCGATCATAGTTATTTAATTGTTTAGTCTGCGATCCTGAAAATCCACAGTATACGTAACGTGAATAATAGATTTTTAGTACTCAGTGAATTTCAGGATGCAGTCTTAATTAACGATTTCATGCTGATTTCACTTGAGTTCGCATTACCGACTTGATATCTTCAACGAATCTCCAAGGTATGTCGGACAGGGGCATCAGAGTGGGCAAGGGAAGTGTTTCCTCCTCCGGATCCAGCTCGAAACCCGGCACGACTGTTTTCAACGTATTGAAGACGCCGGTCACGGTCTTGGCGAGGAATCGGTCGAAACGCGGCGCTACCGCGTCCGCTTTCTTGCCGGCGCTGCTGCTCGGACGGAGAAAGTGGCGCAGCTGAGGCGGACACTCGTTCGCTAATCGCGTGCACAGCGTCTTCAAGTAGGTCTCGAGCTCGACTCGCCCGCCCTCGGGCAACACCAGTTCCGACATCACGCCGGTCAACCACGGGATCTGGAAATTTGTGCGCGGATGATCACACGATCTCGAGGCTCGACTGATCAGTCCGGATCTTACGATAAGCGCAAAATGATCCTTTAGCTTTCCGCCCGTGATGAAACCGTAAGCTCGAGACAACCTTCTGGTCTTCCGCTCCGCGCGATAAAGTCTAATTTATTGGGCCTTTCCCGGCCGAGAAGTCGCGATAAGTCGCCCCGAGTTTCAGCAATCGTAAACGCTTTTCTGCTAGAAACCGCAATTCAGTTACAATTCAGAGCGCTTAGGGCGTGAACGCTTATTGCACCTATCGATCCGGACTGAATGAACCGTCCGTAATCGTCCGGCTCACTTCCTCCAAGCTGAGATGCAGTTGAGCGAAATCGGAGTATTGCCTCCTGACGGTGGCGGTGGTGGTCTCGAATAAGTCAACCCCACGCTGCTCCACATCGTCGAATTGTATGCAGTAAAACAGTTGTTGCGAACCGTCCGCCGCGGTGTGGAATTCGGTCCACGGGATCGACAGATTCGTGAACTGGCTGCCTTCGTATATCACGTAGGATTTCTCCTCCGCGTGCCTGCAATCCCGCGTGTCCGATTAGACGAATTCATACAAGCGACACGCCGATACGACGAATTCGTTTTTCTTACTAACAGCGGCGTAGTGGCCGTCGATTTCTGTTGCAACAGGCTCCGTATCCTGGCGATGGTGGTGGCGAAATCGGTCGGTTCCTCGTAGACCGGCGATATCTTGTCCTCCTCCAGGAGTTCCAGATCCGCCTCCTCCGTTATGCTGCCTCCCCAGAGGCCTCTGTGGCCGCTGGTGAGGCCTTCCAGACACAGATTAGGCCTTTCCAGAGCTACCACGGGCGAAGCCGCACTTTTCTCTCCGCTCGCCGTAGCGCTCGCGGATGGACTGGGCAAAGACGTCGGTAATTGTTGCGGGATCACGGCTGCTGTAGCGGATGCGATACCGTCACTCAGAGCGGCAGTTATGACACCCTGAAAGATACGTTCGGCATTTGTTAGTTACACATACACCGTCGACCGATAGTCCTCGTGCTCAGATCAGAATATATATATATATATATTACATTGACGTTTTGTTTGGCCGGAGTAACGACCCCTCCCTCCTCCCTCGGCGGGACCTCCAGCAGCCTCAGCAAATGCTCAATAAGCCAGTTCGGGCAGCTGATCACCTCTATGGCTGTCAGGAGCCTCCTCGCTAAAACAGACAAGAGAAGCTTGCACGGTAACGAGCTGGTCAACTCCCACTGCAAGAACTCCTGGGCCAGAACGGTGACCAAACGATGCAGCATGTGCTCCAACGCCGGCGCGCTGCGGGAACCGGGATGTGAATATTTGTACGCTTCCTCCACGCTCGTCGCAGCACCTTTCTCGACTCGGCGCAACGCTCTGCGAAATGCCAGTTAATGACTGATAAATAACAGACGAAATTGACCGTCGAAAGTGATCCTCTACGAGAACAATATGTCGACATGCGCGCACCTACGATATTCCTTTAGGTGTAACAACAATACGTTGGCCAGCTTATTGGTGAGTTTTACTTTATCCATCAGACTGACTTTCCAAGCGAGTCTGGTCAAGAATTTGCTCAGCATATCCAGCGCCTCGTCGGAAAACGACTTGTCGTTGCTTATGTTCCTGTACCAAATCTCGACGTACTTCGCGTTAATTTCCTCGGCCACGTCCGTTACGCTCGGCTTCTTCCTTCTCGGGGCTTCGATGTTTTTGTGAGAATCTTTCGAAATTGCGTCATTATCCGGCTTAGAGCCTTCTCGCTTTTCACCCTCGCAGCCGACCTTCTTGTCCTCGTCTACGGGAGCGTCCAGCTTCAAACGACTCACCAATCTCTCGTAGATCCATTTGCTCGCGAACTCGAAAACAAGTGGACTGTTGGCTTTCAGTGTGAGACGTAACAAGCAACAACTCAGCCATATGGATACTATTATGATGAACACAGCCCAAGAGATGGAAACATATATCGGTACAGATGTGAGATCCGCCCATACTTGTACGACTAAAGACAACACAGCGGCCACTGTACTAAAAACTAGCAGTACTTGGTTCAACCAACTCATCGGTATAACTTTGTCCATTTTTTTCTTTTCTTTGCCGGTACACACCGGTATAGCGCTTTCAAGTAGCTAAGAACTCAAACGTCACGACATTTTGTGCTGCAACTGCACATTTTTTCTGCTGCATCCGAGACCTGTATTGAGAAAAGAAGTCTCCTTTCTTAATTCATACTTGAGAAGAATAAAAATAATAATACACACATTCTTTCGTTTGGCAAACTGGTATCTTTATTCTTAAAAATCGAGATATCAATCGTGTGTGAGAGTGAGAAGTGGGAATGAAAAGAAAAGTGACATTTAATGTAAAAGGAGCAAATGTATGTGTGTATGTGATGGGACGACACACAGGTGAACCATGTATATTCCATAATTCGTATCTCCATTGCGACGGTTCAGTGTCTAAAACTGAGTACAAAGTACGTTGGACACCGCGAGATACTCCGAACACACATTCAATCTACATAGTAAGTGGAGTAAGCGGACGTTTACGTACACAGACTGAGATTTATGCTCGTAACACGACGACACGCAAAACATATTGTCCGGGCATTCATTGATAATTCTGGAGACGTACCGCGCGGTCCATACTTTCTTTCGCAGCTGTTCACTTTATCGCCGTTTCAGGCGCTCCTCCGTGAGGGATTAACCTCGTCATTTGCGCGTCCGGGTCGAGTTGATTCGCGTTATACCGTCGCGAGGCGCTCGCACTCTCGTCATCCGTCACGACGCCATATCGCGCGCGGATTTCTATTCGCATTGATTAGTCCGCGTAGAAAACCAGACCGCCTTCTCGTCGTCGTCGTTCTATCGCGCGACACGGCCATAGATCACGCGTTCACAAGAACCATCCAATAGGCGTGATTCATTCCGCCGATTAAATCGATTCGCCCGTTGAGATATCGCGTTCTATTTTTCCGTTTTCCCCCACGCATGGAGACCGTAGCCAAGTAGAGCAGAAAATGACGAGGAAACGAAAC